CCCAGCACCGGCGGTTAAAATGCTGAAATACTTCTGCCCCCACTGGTAAATGCATGCTGTCCTCGGCCCCGGGGGCATCTCTGGGATCACAACCTACCTATAAGCCAGCAACTGAGCACCTGGCCCGGATGGAGGCCTCTAGAATACTGCTCCCGTGCCCTGATTACTAAGTGATAATGGTACTGGTTGCTAGTTATTTGTAGTATCACCTTTAGTTACGAAGATGCTTAGGCTTAGGAGCCTGCTTTCAAAGAGAACCTTGTCTGGGGCCCCTGGGTGGCCCAGTCAGTTAAGTGTCCGACTCTTGGTTTCGGCTCAGGTCATGATCTCCAGGGTCTTGAGATCAAGCCCCACATCAGGTTCCACGCTCAGCAGGGAGTCTGCTTGAGATTTTTCTCCCTCTGCCCGCCCCACTCTCTCTCTCTCTCTCAAATAAATAAATGAGTCTTTAAGAAAGAAAGAAAATAAGAGAGAGAAACTCGTCTGGCCTGGGAGACACGTGGAAAATCCGGGTGAACTGGACAAATAGCCCCGCAGCTCCCTCCCCTCAGCCCAGTGCTGGTGCCCGCCCATGGAAGCCCTGGGCTTACTCAGATTTCTCCCATAGTCACCGCTGCCCGGTTCATTCATCCACTCGGCAGCTATTTATTGAGTACCAGTATATGTCAGACACTATTCTGAATGCTACGAGTACAGAGGAGGACAAGCCAGATAAGGTCTCTGCCTCGTGAAGCTCACGTTTTAGGAGGAGACAGATGATAAACAAGGAAACCAGATCATTTCTGATAATAATTAGTGCTATGAAGAAAATGCAACAGTGTTATGAGACAGGGGGTGAAGGAAGGTGGAAGGAGGGTGCTGCTGGGACTTGGAAAGCCAGGGAAGGCCTTTCCGAGGATGAGGAGTTTGACATGATGATGGAAAGCATGTGGGGGAAGAGTGGTCCAGGCAGAGGTGGCAAGATAGGCAAAGTCCTAGAGCTGGGAAAGAGCTGGGAGTATCTGAGAGCAGAAAGGACAATGTGGATGGGGAACAAAGGATAAGGGGAGAGCCAGATGACATAAGGCAAAGAGGTGGGCAGTGGCCAGATCATAGAGGGTCTTACCGGTTGTGACAGAGCATTTGGATTTTATTCCAAGGTCCTGACTGGATTCAAGCATGATCTATGTGATGTGAGTTTCTCAAGGGCATGCACTGTATCCTTGACCTTCTGCTGCCCCCATAGGGCTTGCATCAAATAGCAATAATAATAGTTGCTTTTACCCAACATTTACATAGCATGGGCCAGGCACTGTGCTCAGGAATCTCTTAATCCTCACAAAAAGTCTGATGCTATTGATTTCATTATTATTTATTTGTCAGAGAGAGAGAGAGTACAAACAGGGGGAGCGGCAGGCAGAGGGAGAAGCAAGCTCCCCACTGAGGATTAGTCTTGATCCCAGGACCCCGGGATCACGATCTGAGCAAAAGGCAGACGCTTAACTGACTGAGCCACCCAGGAGCCCCTAATGATTTCATTATTATTCCCACTTTACAGACAGGCAACCAGAGGCTCCAAGAGGTCATGCCAAGGTCACTAACTAGTGTTGAAACCAGGATTAGAACCCAGACAATCTGGTTGCTGTGGGGTCCCAAGAGAGGAGAACTGGAAGAAGCCCTGAGTACCTGAGTTTTGAGCAGCAAGAGGAACAAGAACACTCATGATATGGGATGGAAGAAACCAGCAGTTGGCCCTGCTGGGAAGGGGAGAGAAACTGGGGCCCAGAAAGCCAGATGGAGGGGTTCCTTCCTTGCTACCCCTGGAATATGGCCCGGACAAGCCCTGAAGGGGAGGGCCCAGCTGCCTGAGGCTGCCACCCACCGCCCACCCTGGGTCTAACTGCCCAGCCTGGGTTCTGCCCAACCTCACCTGGAGCCCAGAGTTCTCCCTGAACAGGTAGAATCGCCTTAAACCTCTGCAAAGGAGAAGGCAGAGATGAGATAAGGATGGGAAAAGACTCCTCTTGGCCTCAACAAAGAAACACTTTCAGTTTTCATGAAAGTACAAGCGGGAAGGAGGGGGCGGGGGCAGGCAGCCAAGGTGAGGAAAAGCCACGGAGGGAGATCTCTGTGCTAGGCATTTTACATATATTTACTCTTCACCGAAGACACTGCAGCAGATGAGGATCTGAGACTCAGAGATGTTATATAACCTGACCAAGGTCACACAGCTAATAAACCAGGGTTCATTCCTGAGTCTGACTGGCTCCATTCCATGCCTGGGCACTCCAGAAGCACTGTCTTGTTATCCTGCAGGTTTGTACTCTGCTTCCCCTCACCTACATTTATTTCCCCGGGCACTGAGCTCAGACAGTGAGCCCCAGTGCCCTCCTCCTAAACCACCATTTTGCCTGGTCCTGGCACTTCTTTCCTGCCTAGTCCTGCCTATTTGGCCACCATCTATTTCTCCTTGTGCCTCTCTGAGTGTTCATCTTTGGGAATTGGATTTCCTGCCCACCTCTATCTTGGGCCCCAATTTACCTTGGCAGTCCCCAGGCAGAGCAAAGCAAGTCACTCCCCAGCAACTGAACGTCGGTGTTCCAGGCAGCCAGCCTCCCCCCACCCCCGCCCCCACCCTGGGGCTGGGGTCTGGAGGAGATCGGACTGGGATGCGGAGCTCTCCCTTCGGATCCATCTGGAAACGTTTAAGTTCCTCTACCATCCTAAGGGGTCTAAGTCTATTCAGAATCCCCAGGCCCATGCTCAGGTCTGCACCCCATCTGTGAGCCAAGCCCAGAACCAACACTGTACTGTCCACCCCCCACTCACCCCAGAATCTCTTCCTAACCCATCCCATAGGTCCCACTTCTCCCCTCTGCACAGGATTCTTCACAGGTGCCCAGGTGACGGGGAGGAGGAGCCAGCCCCCTCCCCTGCTAGGACATGCCTGGATGTGTGGGCCTGTGCAATGTGAGGAGAGAAGGAGGGGAGCACCTGTTCAAGGCCTCAGGGTCACAAAGGGCCTGCAATTAGACTTCTGATGTTATCTCCATATGAGGTTATACATAGAGTCATCGTCTGTTTTATGGGTTTGAAGTGTTAATTTGTTCAAGGTGAACACTGAAAATCTACTACAATTTTTCAATCCTGTGTGGCATCTCACTTTTTCAACACCAGGAACCTCAAAAATGGAAGAAGGGAGGCTCCCTTCCAGCCTAAGAGGCCTTGAGGTGTGCCCCAAAAGGAAGAAGCAGGAGATGGGGGTAGGTGGAGGGAAACAGCACACACTAAGGAGAGGTGTGGGAACCCAAGAACCCTGTCCTTTCGGCTCATCCCAGCTCCTCTGGAAGAGGTCTGCCCTTTTGTGCCCGCAGCCCCCACTCCTGCTCCCCGAGGCCGCAGAGTGAGCCAGAGTGAGGGCGGGGGACAGGCCCAGACTGGCAGAGGAGTGTAAGAGGCGGCACCACCCGCCCGCCCGCAGCTCTGGGACCAGGCCCCCCCCCCCCCCCCCCGCCCCCCCCCCCCCCCCCCCCCCCCCCCCCCCCCCCCGGCACGGCCAGCCAACCCTGTCACCGCTGCGGAGGCAACGCCAAGGAGAGGAGACGCTCGGCTGAGGACCCCAGAAAGGAGGAAGGAGCGCGCTCCCTCCCACGGGGAAAGACATGTGGGGCTCATGAAAGGGACGCGGAGAGGGGCGCGGAGCTGGCGGAGCAGAGCGGGGGCGTGGCGGGGTGAGGGAAGCTCCCAGGAGCGAGCGCACCAGACCACGGGAGGTCCGCCGCGACGTCCGGAGCGAAAGGCGCCGGGGAGCGGGCCCGGGAGGGGGCGTGCAGTTTGGCCCGAGGGTCCCGAGCTGAAACTCAACACCCGCCTTTGGAGGGACCGTCCTCCTTTCTCCTCCGCCCCTTCCCTTCCCCTCCCTTTTCCCCTCCCTCCTTTCTTTTAATCCCCAGGACTGAGCCCCGCGCCGGAGCGGAGAGGGCCCGAGGGGAGGAGAAAGGAACTGCCCCGAGAGGGAGCCGGGAGCCCGGGAAGGGGAGGGAAGGGGAGCCGCGCGCGCGGGGGCTGAGCCCGAAGGCCACGCGCGACCCCTCGGAGCCTTCGCAGCCCCCTCAGTGTCCCCCCCCCGACCCTCCTCCAGGCGAGTCCACGGGACCCTGGCCCCTGCTCCTCCTTCGCCTTCTCTTTGCTGCTTCTTTTGCTTTGTGGCCTTTCTCTCCGTCCCCAGAGACACCCGGGAGCTGCCCCGAGCTCCCGCGCGCGCCGAGGGGCCCTGCCGAGGGTGCGCGTGAGCGGGCCGCGGGGTGGCGGCGCGCGGGGGAGCCCCGCGGAGGCGTGGGGAAGGCCGTCCCGCCCCTTCGGGCCGAGCCCGCGTGCGGGGAGCGAGGTTCCGTCGCGGCGTCCCCCGAGCCCCGGGCGCGCAGAGGGCGAGTGTGCGTGAGCGTGAGCCCGCCTCGCCGCCGGGCGTGCGAGTGTCTGGGCCGAGCGCTGCCCTCGGGCGACGCCGCGCAACCGCCACGCTCTCGGAGGCCTCCGGCGCCAGCCTGGCCTCCTTTCGCCAACTTGGGCGAGTTTGAAGAGGGGCGAACGTCTCAGTGCTCGCTCGCCCCACCCCCTCGCAGCTGGGCAGCCGCAGGGCCCCGGGCCGCTCTACCACAGCCCTGGGAGCACCGCTCTCTGCCGCGGCCCCCGGCTGGGGAGGGTTGGCCCCTGAACTCGCCCGTCCAGCCCAACCGCCCCGGCGGCTTCTCCCAGCCCTCGAGGCCGTCCTGAGCGGCCTGGCGAGGCGTCGAGCGCGGCCCCAGCTCCCGCCTCCTCGCCTGCCCCGGCCCTGGGAGGGAGCTTTCGGCCCATGCGGACCCGGGCTCCCTCCGCGGCCTAGGCCAGGCAGCTCCAGGGGCCCGGCCAAGCCCGTGGTCCCCGGGACGGCACGGAGCGCACGCCCTTGGATGAGGTCCCGCAGCGACGCCCCGGCCCGCCCCGCTCCTCCTCCTGCCCGGCCAAGCTGCCTCCCATTTGGGAAGTTTTGTGGGTTTTCTTTCTCCTCCTCCAACCTCCGCGGAGGCCACGACTCAGGCACCGCAGCCGGGGGCCGCCTCCATGGTGCCGGGCGGCCGCTGCTGAAGTCAGCGAAAGCGAGCCTGGCCTGGAACGGGCCGCGCGGGAGGCCAAGGCCATGGCCATAGCCACGTCGGTGAGTCCACCAGGGAGAGGAGGCTGCGGGCCATAGGCCTCCGTGGTCTGCCCTGCACTCCTGTCACTTTTATTTCTGCTTTGTCTTTCTCCCTGGGCCCTTTCTTCTCCGAGAGGCTGTGTCCTCCACCCCCCCACCCCCACTTTTGTTTCCCTCTTTCCCTCTCACTCCCCTTCCCTAGCTGCTTCTGTGTCTAGGTTCCCCCTCTCCCCTCCTCCTCCCCATTCTCCTCTTTTTCTTTCTAGAGGCTGTCCCTGGATGGAGGGGAGGGGGCAAGCCTAGCCCGAGTCCTATCTGCTGTTTTAGGGGCGGGAACAGATGGCCACCGGTGGTTGGCAGGGGCTTGTGATTGGGAGGCAAGTAAAAGGTTGGGGCGGGGGGGCGGCTGAAAGAACGGAGGTGGCTCCAGGAAAATGGGAGAGGTCAAAGAGGCCCTTCTCTGGAGGAAGGATGGAGAAAAGGGGGGGAAATGGAGCAAAAGAGGGAGATCGGGAGGGGAGAGAGAGAGAAAATAGAGGGAGCAGGAGAGGTGATGTCAGCCAGCCTCTGGCCACTTTCCGGGGACTGGGGACAAAGGGAGGAGACAGCTGGCATGATGGGACGGTGGGAGGAGGCCTCCCAGAGAGCGTGTGGCCCACTGCCACCCCCAAGTTAAGGCAGCCACTCCCTCGCAAGTCAGCCGGGCCCCTGAGGAGCGGGTAGGGCAGAGGTGGCCACACCCATCATCAATCAGTCTATCAGCAACTCTGGCCTGGGTTCCTGGAGTCGTGAGGCCCAGAGGTTTGGCCCCATTGGACGGAATTAAACCTTAACACAAGGAGGAGCTCTCCACAGCCCCACCTCTGCTTTCTGCCCAGCAAGCCTTATGGTGTGAATCCAAGCGACTCTGTCCCCTTTCCACCCTTGCCTAGACGCTGTGATTCCTGGGGAAGGCAAGGCTGCTGCTTGCTTTCTGGCCCCCTCCAAATGGGTACTCTGGGAAGGAGGACTGTGAGGCTGGAAAGGCGAGAAGCACGGCTCCTGACATCCTCCCATACTCCTCAAGGACGAGTTCAGTTTTCACTCCTTCTCAGACCAAACTCCTTTTAGCTCAGTCTGTATGATGGTGGGAAGACCTTAACTCAGAGCCTGGAGAGGGGGAGGTCCTGAAAACAGTAGCTCAGGGCTAGCTGGTCAGCTGGTCTGCTTTGTAGTCCCAGGAGGTAGATTTTTCTTTTTACCTAGAGGTGGGGAGTGGCATTTGCGCTACTCAAACTCACAGGGTCCTAATAACAGCTAATAGTTTTTGAGCATATACTGGCCCTGTGCTGGTCCTAAGCTTTGTCTTGGTTTGTCCTGGTTGTTTGATGCATTATCTCCTCCAGTCCTCACCACAACCCTGTGAGGATAGTGCTGTTATTATCCGGAAATGGATATTTGGATATGGACATGGAATTCTACAAAGGAGGAAACCGAAGGCTTGGGAAGGTCAAACAACCTGCCTGAAGTCACCCAGTTAGAAAGGGACAGAGCCAGGACTCAACCCTGGGTCTGTCTGCCTCAGAACTGTGCTCTTCACCCCCTGCCTAATCCAAAACACTAATTTCTAATTTACAATTAGAAAGAAGAGTGCTGAGCTAACCAGGAATTTGTGCCATCTGGTTAGCATGTTTTCTTTCTGTGGGATAATATCCTTTAGAAGCCAAAATATAATCAGAAAATGGTTTGATCTGGAACCAGGCAAGAGGAAAAGTCAGTTTGTTGTTAAAATCACCCAGCCATGAGGGCTGGACCACCTCTCCATGCAGAGAAATGCCGGTCAAGAGAAACGTGCACTCCCGCTGGCTGAGCAGGGCCTCCTTCTCTCCAGGGTCTGGGGGCCAAATGCACCCCTGCCAGAGATCTGTAGCTTGAGATGTTTTACTGAATTAGGCCACATGGATTCCCTACTCCGGTGATGCCTAACTACCCGCTTTCCGCCACCGCTGTTTGGGGTCCTGCCGGCAGGCATGATCACTTAGCAAGCATAACCCAACCAGAATATATTTCGATGCTGTGAGTGGTGTAAGCTTGATTCTACCGAAGGACAGCATGGGACCGGAGCCCTGCGAGGGGTGAAATGCAAAGGAAAGTCAGGTATAATGAAGACTTCGTATGCGCTTGAGTCATGTTTGAGTCATGGACTCTACTTAACCAAGAGGTTAAGTTACTAATAGAAGAAGAAGAAAGTCTAACCTCATTTTTGTGATCGTGGAGAAGCAGTAGGGGGTGATTGAGAGTGCTGGCTCTGGAGTCACACAGCCTGGGGTTCAAGTCACCACCAGCGGCACCAGCTCTCTGTTGTGGGCAGAGTCCTACCCTCTCTGTCCCAGCCTCCTTTCCAAATGGGGATGATGATGGCTCCTTCCTCATAAGGATGTTTTGAGATTAAATGAGATGAGATGATTAGTGTAAAGACTTGCACCATGTCTGGATACATAATTTGCACTTGATATCTGTGACTTACCACCTGAGCAGGTGGCTCTCAAAGCAACAAAGCTTAGACGTCCCTACCAGACAGGACTGGAAACAGGCTGATAAATGTTTGCTCTTGGTTGGTCTGCCAGGCCCTCCTCCACACACATAGACACACACACACACACAGTAGAGTGTATACTCTTTCTCCTCTCCATGGTAACGTCAGCTTCCTCTGATAGAACCTTATTTGCTGAGACTGAGAACAAAACAGTTGCTTCAGTTTCTGTTTTCTTCCTTTTTATGCCTAGGCACTGTCTGGGCTGGGTTTTTCCCAGTCTCTCTCAGACTGATGGGTCTCTGCTGCCACTCAATCTAATTCTGCTTGTAGGGGATGCTGACTGGGAAACAGGGGAGGTGAAGGAGATTCTCTGGCAGACCTTAGCAGGGCTTTCTCATGTACACAAAGCTTTGGAGGAAATTCATTCAACACAGGTTCACTGAGACCTGATTCCAGGTGAAGCCCTTTCACAGGGGCCAGGAATATAGCAGTCCCTGTTCTCCCAGAGCTTACAGGGTAAAGGGAAGAGGTAGATAATAAGAAACGAAATTGGCAAATAGTATAAAGTATGATGAAGGAAACAATGGTGGAGACAGACACAGTGGGGTAGGGAGAAGAGTGAAGAAAAGACCTTTTTGAGAAGGAGACACTTCAGCAGAAGTGAAGGATGCAAAAGGGCCAGTCAGGTGATGAGTCAGGTCAAGAGCATTCTGGGTCAAGGAAACCACAAGCGCAAAGGCCCTGAAGTGGGAAAGAATTTCTCTAGTTCAAGGAATAGAAGAGCACAGGGGATGAAGCTGGAGACGAGGCAGGACCCAGTCAAGAAGAGCCGGGTCAGTTCAGATTTGTAGCTTGAGGGAAATGGGTGGCTCTCTGATATTTCTGAGCAAGGGACCTGATGACCTGATACGTGTGTGAGACCCCTCTCCCTGCTCCCGCCTCACCCAGCAGGCCCAGCTGGCCCGGGCACTCTACGACAACACCGCTGAGTCCCCCCAGGAGCTGTCCTTCCGCCGAGGGGACGTTCTACGGGTACTGCAGAGGGAGGGCGCTGGTGGGCTGGATGGCTGGTGCCTCTGCTCTCTGCACGGCCAGCAGGGCATTGTGCCCGCCAACAGAGTGAAGCTCCTTCCTGCTGGCCCGGCACCCCAGCCCAGCGTCACCCAGGTGCCCCCAGCCCAGCCTGGCTCACCACGTCCAGCCCCAGAGCACGGCAATGAGGACCAGGAGGTGAGAGCTGGAGCCCTCCCCACCCCAGGCCAGAAGAGCCCCGTTGCGCTCTGCTGGAACCTGCAGCAAGGTGGGGCAAGACGATCCCTGAGACCGCCGCTCTTCACCGACCCGGCACTGGGTGAAACTTGTTTGCCACCCTTCCTGGGCTCTTACCCCATTGGCATGGGGGCGGGGTGGGGGTGGTTGGAAGGGGTGGTAGCTCCTCTATGGCATATATTAGCTGCTTCTCTCGTCCCCACTCCTGACCCACCTATCTATCTTGACCCCCCCAGGTATATGTGGTGCCACCCCCAGCTCGGCCCTGTCCTACCTTAGGACCTCCGGCTGGACCCTGCCTGCCCTCCCCTGATCCCATCTACAAGGTCCCCAGAGGGAGTGGGGCCCAACTGGCTGCCCCTGGAGACACCCTGGAGGTGAGGGCTAGACATCCATGTGTATGTTTGGCAGGGAACAGAGGGCTCTCAGTGGGCGTCCACCGCGGAGTCAGGATAACCGATGGCTCTGCTCCCTCTCCAGGTCTATGACGTGCCCCCTACTGCCGTCCGAGTTCCCTCCAATGGCCCCTATGACTCCCCTGCCTCCTGCACCCGCCCTCTGGCCCGGATTGCTCCGCAACCCCCTGGAGAGGATGAAGCTCCCTATGATGTGCCTTTGACCCCAAAGCTACCGTCAGAGCTGGAACCGGATCTGGAGTGGGAGGGGGGCAGGGAACCCGAGCCCCCCCTCTACGCTGCCCCCTCCAACCTGAAACGGGCCTCAGCCCTGCTCAATCTATACGAAGCGCCGGAGGAACTGCTAGCAGATGGGGAAGGTGGAGGCACCGATGAGGGCATTTACGATGTGCCCCTGCTGGGGCCAGAGGCACCCCCTTCTCCAGAGCCCCCAGGAGCCTCAGCCTCCAGTGACCTGGACACTGTGGCCCTGCTTCTGGCCAGAAGCCCCCCACTCCCACACAGGCCCCGCTTGCCCTCAGCCGAGAGCCTGTCCCGCCGCCCTCTGCCTGCCCTGCCTGTCCCTGAGGCCCCCAGCCCTTCCCCTGCTCCCTCTCCTGCTCCAGGCCGGAAAGGCAGCATCCAGGATCGACCTCTACCCCCACCCCCACCCCGCCTGCCTGGCTATGGGGGCCCCAAGGTTGAGGGGGATCCAGAGGGCGGAGAGGTAGAGGATGATCCAACAGGACACCATAATGAGTATGAGGGCATCCCGATGGCTGAGGAGTACGATTATGTCCACCTGAAGGTGAGCTCCCCTCCCACCAGAAATGCCCCCCAAGATAACCAGAGGGAGGAGTGAGGAGGCCTGGGGCCCGGAGGGACCCTCCCTTTCTTCCCTTCTTCCTTCCTCCACTGGCCTTGCACCCTATGGCCTGGGACCCCAGTACTTGGTCCCACCACTTGTACCAGTGCCACACTCCTAAACCCAGCCTGGGGTCCCCAAGCCATCTGACCTGCCACCAGAACTCTCCGAGACCTGGAGTCAAGGGCCTGCAACCTCTGATGGCCGTAGAGACCTGGGGAAGAAACGGGGAGGGGGAAGGGGCAGGAACACAGCAGGAGAGGGGTGGGGGGCACCTGCCCTGCTCCTCCACCCCTGCTCTGAGACCCTGGTCCCTCCCACAGGGCATGGATAAAGCTCAGGGATCTAGGTCCCTGGATAAGGCCTTCCCAGGGGATCCTGAACTGCTGGAGAGGGGGTCACCGGAGCAGCAGGTAACCCTGTGGGGACGGTGCTAGAGAAGGGGGACAGGAAGGAGGAACAGGAACTTGGAGGAAGCAGCAAGGGAGAGAGATTTAGGGTGGGGGTGAGAACTCAGGGAGCCAGAGCTGGGGTAGAGAGAAGCAAGAATTCAGCAGGAAGGACTGGAACCTGGAAAAGGATATCAGGAATTCAGAAAGAGGGGAAAGAATGTGTTGGAGAGGAATCAGAAAACCAAGCAGCCAAGGAAGCAGAGAGAATTTTGGGCTGGGCCAGGTGACTTCTGAAGCTCCTTCCAACTGAATTCCTGGGTTCCTAAGAGACGGGGCTTCTAATCCTAGCTCCACCAGTAAGAAGCCGGGGCCCTGAAGTCACCAGTTAATCTCTCTGGGCCTCAGGAAAGTAAGATGGTCTCCCCGACTGTCTAGAATGGTCCTAAGCATAGCTACCGTTTATCAGGTAGATGCCAAGTGCGGACCCTGTGCTGAGCACATCGCACGGGTCAGCACTAATCACAGCCACAGTCAGTACTGGTACGGTGCTCACCGTGTGCAACGTTCTGTTCTAAGCCCTCTCGGCATGCTGTGGCATTCACTGCCCCGCAGCCGTGGGAGGCAGACGCTAGAACAGCACTATCCAATAAGGTGGCCACTAGCCACATGCGGCTACGGCGCACTTGAAATGTGGCTAGTCTGAACTGAAAGGCACTGTAAATATAAAACAAACGCACACCAGATTTTGCACTTAGAATGAAAAGAAACGTCAGTCATTTTTATATTGATTACATGTTGAAATTACAACATTTTTATATCTGGAGTTAGAAAAAAAAATCTTTTTACTTTTCTCAACATGGCTACTAGAAAAATTTTGATTACACATGTGGTTCACATTATGTTGATACTGGACAGCATAAAATGGGACAGATGCCCCATTTTAGAGATAAGGAACCAAGTTCAGAGACTAGTTTGAATCCAGATTGATCTGACATCAGCTCCTCCAGGCACTTTCCTGGCCCTGGCTATGAGAATTTAAACGTTCTGGTGGGCAGAGGGAGGGGCTCGGGTAAAAAGGAGGGAGTGAAAGGAAGGAATGAGGAACCGAGGAAGGGAAGGAGGGAGGAAAGCAGTGCAGGAGTAGCACCACTGGAGCGTGCCCACCAACCACTCCTCTTGCCGCCAGGAGGCCCCGTCCCCAGGGGAGCCGCTGGATCTGCCCACCGGAGACCTACAGCTCCTGCACTTCTACGCAGGCCAGTGCCAGAGCCACTACTCAGCACTGCAGGCGGCCGTGGCAGCCCTCATGTCCAGCACCCAGGCCAAGCAGCCCCCACGCCTCTTCGTGCCCCATGGCAAGCGGGTGGTGGTGGCCGCTCACCGCCTGGTGTTTGTAGGGGACACTCTGGGCCGGCTGGCAGTGTCCGCGCCTCTGCGAGCACAGGTCGGGGCTGCAGGTACAGCGCTGGGCCAGGCACTACGGGCCACGGTGCTGGCTGTCAAGGGGGCCGCCCTGGGCTACCCATCCCACCCGGCAGCCCGAGAGATGGCGCAGCGCGTGGCGGAGTTGGCAGGGCAGGCCTTGCAGTTCACCTCTCTGCTCTCCAGCCTGGCCCCCTGAGGGCCCCCTCCAGGACCCACTCCTCCCCTCTCCTGCCTGCTGGAGCCCCTTTTGGGCCTTGGGTGGCCGGAGGGCTCCGTTTTAGGGACCGGGAGAGGCGGGGGCGTCTTTCCCCTTCCAGTCATCTCAGTCTCTCACAGAGATGTCCCTCCCCCTCCCGCAGCTTTTTGTACGAGCCATTTTGTATAAATTATTTATATTTAATATTATTCCCTGTTTTGTCAGGGGCAAGTGCCAGGCCCTTTGGGGCAGGGAGGAACTGGACTCTTTTCTCTCAGCCTGGGGTGGAGGTTCTTGGTCACTGCACTGCCCCCCACCTCTGGAAATGGCCCCACAGAGAAGCAGGTGGCTGAATCTTGGGTCCACCCAGAGCCCCTTTCTTGTCCTGGTTCTTGGCTCTAGAACATCAGCACCTCACTGTTGGCTGAGAGTGAGGGCAGGACATTGACCGCCCAAAATGTGGAGGTCTGGGAGAGGCCCGAGGGCTCCACCCCATGGGAGGCAGGACAGAGCTGGGCCTCAGTAAGCCCTGCTGTCTGGTTCTCTGCCTCTGCTTCTTGGGTGCTTGGGGGAGGAGCTGGGCCTGGTGGCCCTTGGCCAAACCGACGGGACACACGCTGTGGGCAGGATGTCCTTAGGTTTGGGGGGAGATTTTGCTGTTATTTTCAGTAACTATTCATTCGGCGGGGTTCAGCTCCCATGATGTGCCAAGCACAGTTCTGAAGGTACACTGGGATGGGATGGACATAACTGCGTCAGTTAAAATAAGTAAATAAATAAAAAAAAAAAAATCCCTGCCACAGATTCAACAGTTGCTGGCAATGGAAATAAACAGGGTGATATGAGGGACTAACTGGATGAGGGAAAGGCCATTGAAGGAGACTTTGGACAGGATAGTGGGGAGGTGATGTCTGAGCTGAGGCCCCAGGGATGAGAGCACCAAGAAGAGTCTGAGAACTAGCATTCCCAGAAAGCAGACAGATTACTGACTGGGGTGGGGGCCTTTCCTTCAAGACTTCACTGTCACACAATGTCATTAGAGAGGTGCATATGTGGAGAGAGGTTGGCCTCACATGAGCCTTGAAAGGTGCCATGCTGAAGAGATCACCCCAGTGAAGGCCTATCCTCAGCTTGGCGCCACAGGACAGCTCTGGCCAACTGGACAGTGCTGCTGGCTGGCCTGGGCACCCTCTCCCTTAGGTTAACGCGAGAAGGTCTGGCCTCTTCAGCCCCCCTTCCCAGGACTCCTGCTGACCGTCCTAGACACACCTTTTAGAGGAGCCAAGAAGCCAAGTGAATGCAATGTGCTGTTAGTCCATAGTCCTCAAGCGCTGGTGAAATTGACAAGCCATGACTTAGATGGGAGATCACTCTAGCCACTTACACAGGGAAGAAGTCCAAGCCACAGATCCATTGCTTCCGTTGTACTTTCCCCAGATGACACCTTGGCACCGTGATTGGATTAGAGGCACCCCAAACTTCAGTCACAGTCTGAGTCTCTTGGCCCCCTCTATGCCTTTGCCTTTTCCATTTTGGATTCCTTCTTTCTCATTTCACTCTCCAAGAAAACTCATTTCCAGGATCTGGGGTCACCCAAATTCACCGATATGTGTTGAAGACTTATAACGGGGCTATCCTCCATCATGTCCCAGAAAGGATGTCAAGAGATCAACCCGGAAATAGAGTCAGAGGTTTCAGTGCAAGTCCCAGATCTGCCATGCACCTATGTGTCTGCAGGTAAATCCTTGTCGGTCCCTCTGAGTCCTGGCTTTACCTTTTTTTTTTTTAATTTATTTATTTTTAAGACTTTATTCGGTTGACAGAGAGAGTGGCAGGCAGAGGCAGGGTAGAGGGAGAAGCAGACTCCCTGCTCAGCAGGGAGCCAGATGCGGGACTCAATCCCAGGACTCTGGGATCATGACCTGAGCTGAAGGGAGATGCTTAACTGACTGAGCCACCCAGGTGCCCCCTGGCTTTACCTTTAATAGGAGGATGATCATAATGGTCTCACGGGGTTGTGAGGCCGTAACAATATAATGCATGTGAATGGCCCAGTGCCACATAAAGTTAAGGGATTATATACAATTTCAGGACAGACACAAGGACAATTGGATCCCCAAGCAATGTTGGCTGTGACTGCACCAAAGTAAATCCTAAAGAGATACCGAAATGAGTCGGGGTAAAGGAGCAGTGGGAAGCTGCTTAATGTATTAGAAGAGTTCCCATATTTGGAAAATTTCTGAACAGAGGAGACAAATTGGAAGTGTGTGGTTCAGTAGAGAGAAGAGGCAATGGATTTCCTGGTTGAGACTAACAGCACACTCCTTTCTAGCCCTTAACTTTAGACTGGAGAATACAGCATGTATTAGGTATTAAATAGAGAAGTGTATTTCTAACTTGAGTGTACATATACCTGGGGATCTGGTTAAAAGGGAGATAGTGATTCAAGGGCTTGGATTCTGCATTTCTAACAAGCTCCTGGATGACATGGGAGTACTGTTCTGTAAATCACACTTTGAGTAGCAGGTCTAGGGGTTCCAGGGAAGGCTTCTCTGAGGCAGATATGCTTGAGCTGATAGCTGAACGATGAGAACTTGACTAGGGGAGGAGAAGCCCTCAGGCATAAAGACCAACTTGTGCAAGGGCCCTGTGCCATTGGAAAACCTGAAAGAAGGCCAGTATGATGAGGGCAGTCTGGGGAGAGAAGCGAGGTGAAGCACCAGGGAGCCCATGGGATCAAGCATGCAGGAGCATGTATGAGGCTTCTGGAATATTAGTATTTACCTTGTTGGTGAGGAGGAGACATTGAAGGCTGTTAAGCAGGAAAGGGACTCAAACAGATCTGCATTTTGAAAAAATCACTCCACCTACACTAGAAATAAGGCTAGGGGAAGGGGGCAGAAACGATGTGGATGCAGAACACCAGTTAGGAGGCTCAAGCAGTCTGGGCAGCAGGTAGCTTGACTAACCGTGGTAGAGATGTAGAGAAGCAGAGTAAGAACTACACAGGAAGTAAAATGGACAGCATTTTGTAAAGCATTTGACATGGGGGTAAGGAGGAGGCCTTGTAAGGGCTGTCACCTGAGCACCTGGCCAAAGTTGAGTGCTGATGGTACCATTCACTGGGGGAAAGCAGCACTAGAGAACAACCATGTTACAGGGGGAAGAGCATGAGTTTGGTCTTGGACCTATAGAGTTTGAGGTCCCTGTGAGTCACCCAAGGTTAAGAGGATGAATAAGTGGTGGCTTCAAAAGTCTGGGGCTCAGAAGCAAGGTGGGAGCTGGAGATGTAGATCTGGAGATCAGGTTTGTATTGTTTATATCGGGGGTGAATGAGGCCATGGACATGGGTGAGATTTCAAGGTGGGAAAGAACAGTGAAATGAAAGGAGGACCCAGGATCACAGACACAATGATGGTGAAAAGGAGGAGGAGGAGCCTGCCATGGAGAAAAGAGGAGCAAGAGAAAGAAAACGAGGAGTGTATGAGACTTAGCAACCAAAAAAGGAAGTGTTTAGAGGAAAGGGTGGTCAACAGTGCCAAATGATGTTGAGAAATGACAAGACAGGGTGGTCTTGTGGAGGACCGCAACCAGGGCTGTTTACGGGGTCCAACCCAGTCCTCCATAAACATACCCTGAACGGTAGTTGCCAGTATACATGGCTGTCTCCCACCTAAGCTACTCCAAGGTGGGCTTGTCCATCCTGTCATCCCCCAAAGCCTAGCACAAGGCCAGGCACATAACAGACGCTTAATAAATTTTACTGATGAATCAGTGGAAGGATGGGAAGATGGCTGGATAGCTGGATGAATGAATGATGAGGAAGAATTGGAAGCAAAGGACTCTCTGGCAACTGCCTGGGTAGCTACTATCCTTCAGCTTTCTTTCCTTTTTACCGCAATGGCCCGCAGACCCCGGGAACAGAGACAGAGCCCCTGGGCCCTGGCCCCCCTTCCTCCCTCTGACGAAGAGTCTGGACCGAAGGTTCTGCTGACGTGGGAAGGGGGAGGAGAGTCTGGAGGAAGGGGAGGGGAAAGCAGCACAGAGATCGCAGAGACGAAGGAGGCGCCCGCGGCTGCAGAGCTGCAGAGCGGGGTCTCTCCGGCCTCTGTGTCTGGGCATCGGGCCCCCCACTGGGCCAGAGGACAGCGCATCCTTTCGGTGCAGGCCGGCAGGGCCCCTGCGGTCGGCAAGCTGGCTCCCCGGGTGGCCACCGGGACCCCCGAGCCCAATGGCGGGGGCGGCAGCAAAATCGACAGCACTGTAGAGATCACCCCCAGCCCCAACGGAGTAAGTGCCTGCACCCTGGGGGCTACGCCATCATCCCCCTCCACCCCCACCCCCCGCAGCCGCGCCAAGCACCTGGCATCTTCCTCCCGCGCACCCCCCGCTCCTGACCACCTTCCTCGCGCCCGCCCTCTTCCCTTGGTCTGCGGCTTTCTCTGCTTCTCCGCTTCACCCCTCTCCCCCCGCCCCGACCCCCCCAGCAGGTCGGGACCCTCGGAGATGCGGTGCCCACGGAGCAGCTGCAGGGTGAGCGGGAGCGCGAGCGCGAGCGGGAGGGGGAGGGCGACGCGGGCGGCGACGGAATGGGCAGCAGCCTGTCGCTGGCCGTGCCCCCCGGCCCCCTCAGCTTTGAAGCGCTGCTCGCCCAGGTGGGGGCGCTGGGCGGCGGCCAGCAGCTGCAGCTCGGCCTCTGCTGCCTGCCCGTGCTCTTCGTGGCGCTGGGCATGGCCTCGGACCCCATCTTCACCCTTGCGCCCCCACTGCATTGCCACTATGGGGGCTTTGCCCCCAACGCGTCTGGCTGGGAGCAGCCCCCCAACGCCAGCGGCGTCAGCGTCGCCAGCGCGGCCCTAGCAGCCAGCGCCGCCAGCCGCGTCGCCACCAGTACGGACCCGTCGTGCAGCGGCTTCGCCCCGCCGGACTTCAACCATTGTCTCAAGGACTGGGACTATAATGGGTTGCCGGTACTCACCACCAACGCCATCGGCCAGGTGAGGCGGCCTGCTGGGCCGCGGGTCTGGGGGTGGGCCCAGAGCCGGGAGCACCGGGCCTCACGCGGCTATATCCCTCTCACATTCCCAGTGGGATCTAGTGTGTGACCTGGGCTGGCAGGTGATCCTGGAGCAGATCCTCTTCATCCTGGGCTTTGCCTCTGGCTACCTGTTCCTGGGCTACCCGGCGGACAGGTGAGGGCTGCAGTGGGGACAGGGCAAGTAGGGAGGAGGGGATGCTAGGGTGGTTAACACAGACAGGTGGCCCTTGCACGAGGTGGAAGAGGAGTCACTGGACTCTACAGTCTTCTGGACTTCTGTTCAATGATACGCAGCCCCAGCCCTGTCTCAACTTCACTCCCCATCAAGAAATACTCCTTTCATACCTCTTCTGCACAAGGGAATAACATACCACCCATTCCCCCATCCCCATATCCATGGATCAAGGGCTCATCTCCAAAGACAGCCCCATCCCCACTGACCAAAAACTCTGCCTCCACAGATCAAAAGTCCTAGCTCCTCCTCTACTGTCCCTGTCACCACTAACCACCTCCCTCTCTATCTTCATAGATTAATAGACTCATCTCCAATAATAGCCCCATCTACATGACAGGTTTCATCTCAATGGCCCTATTCCTACAGATCATTATGTTAATTCCTAAATATCAACAGCCACATTCCCACTGACCTGTGTAGTTCAACTCTACAAACAAATGACTCCACCCTTATGGGTCAGCAGTCCAACCCCCATGGATCAATAACCACAATAGCACCCCCCCCACCCGAGATTAATAGTCCCATCCTCATGGGTCTTCAGTGCTCTTAGATCCTCTCAGATCAAAAGCCCAATTCACATGAATCAATGGCCTCATCTCAAAGATCAACAGCTTATTCCCACCAACCAATAGCTCTTCCCAGGGATCAAAACTCCCAATTCCTCTGATTCTTGACACCATCCACTGACCAGGTGTTCCATCTCCACTGACCATCCTCATGGATTATTAGACTCATTTCCACCCATCTACAGTCCCATCCAAATGGATTCATAGCTCAACTCCCATGGATCAAAGGCAGTCCAACATTCAATAATCCCTAAAATCAATACCTATCTTCACTGCCCAATAGCCACACACCCATTAGGCAAATGTTCCTAAACCCACCGGTCAACAACCCTCATTCTCATGCATTAGTGGTCTCATTCCCACAGACCAGTAGCATCATTCTTATGGAATAATACCCTCATTCCTAAACACAAATAATTCAGTCTCTAAATTCAGTAGCCTTGGCCTCATTAACCAATAAGTTCATCTCCATGGGAAAATGAAGCTTCACTGTCAGGGATCAGTCCCTCTTCCCAATGATCAGTGAACCCTATCTTCATCCCCATAGTTCAGTGGTTTTGTTTTGTTTGTTTTTTTAAGATTTTTATTTATTTGACAGAAAGAGACACAGCAAGAGAGAGAACACAAGCAGGGGGAGTGGGAGAGGGATAAGCAGGCTTCCCACTGAGCAGGGAGCCTGATGCGGGGTTCGAACCCCAGGACCCTGGGATCATGACCCGAACTGAAGGCAAACACTTAACAACTGAGCCACCCAGGCACCCCAGATCAGTGGTCTTATCCCCAAAGATCAATAGTCCAGCCTCCAAGGATCAGTAGCCCTGTCCTCATTGACTCATAGTCAATGACCATCATTACTGACCAATAGTCTCAGCTTCCCTAATCTGTGATCCCCTGCTTACTGATTATCACCACGAATCATACCCCCATAGATTCATTCCCCATTGGCCAACAGCCCCCTCCACCCAAGGACTAATGTCCCCACCTCATGAATCAATGGCCGCATCCCAAAAGATATTTGTCCAGTCTTCAAAGATTAATGATCATCCCCATTGATCAATAGTTTACCCCATGGATTAGTAGTTATATTCCCATGGATCACTGGATCGTCTGGCAAGTGACCCCATCCCCACTGACCATCTTTATGGATTAATTGACCCATGAACCAACCCATGGAACAATGGCCTCATCCCCCAAAATCAATGATTCAGTTCTCTAAGATCAATAGCTACATCTTCACTATTATCCCCATGCACAAGTAGCCAATGACCTCACCTCCATAGATCTATAGTTCCAACCCCATATATCAATGACTTCATCTCCTTTGACCAGTCTGAGCAAGGCAAGTTCTATCCCCATTAGCGAATAGCTCTATCCCCAAGGATCAATGGTTCCATGTCCCTTAAGCAGTATCTAATCTCCTTTAATGGTCGGCTTCACTTCCATGCTCTCATCTCTGACCAACAGGCCCATCCACAAGTCAATCCCCTGCAGATCCATAGATACGCCCCAGTGCCCAGAACCCAGACATCGCTTACCCATGGTCCCCCATCCCTTCCCATCTTCTCTAGCCTCAGTCCAACTTTTTATCCTAGGGCCTCATCCTCACACCTCCAGCTTTGAAGTGGGCACCCTGGCCCCACCCAGCAACTCCTCTTCTAGGGAGTCTGGGTGACCAGAGGCCCTCCTCCCTTTCCAGGTTCGGCCGTCGAGGGATTGTGCTGCTGACCTTGGGGCTGGTGGGCCCCTGTGGAGTGGGAGGGGCTGCTGCAGGCTCCTCCACAGGTGTCATGGCCCTCCGTTTCCTCCTGGGCTTTCTACTTGCTGGAGTTGACCTTGGTGTCTACCTGATGCGTGAGTGGCAGCTTCCCAGATGTCCTTCCCTTGAGGCTCCTGCCTGCCTATCTGCATCCCCAGGCTGTTCCAACTGCCCCTTAGGGTCCCCTCAGTCCCTTCTTAGCCCCAAATTTCAGCTGTCCGGGATCTCAGCTGTCTTTTTGCCTTAGCCTTTGAAGAATCCAGGGACTTTGCTTCTCTCCACACCCCTCCTCCTTAGGCCCCCCCCCCCGCCCCACAAATCTTTTAAGGCCTTCCTTGCCCTTGACTTACTGCTGTCAAGAGAATGGTGCCTTATTTAAAAATGAAATCCTCAAAGCTGTATGCCCTTGGATAAGGGTTGATATGAAGGTCAAATAAGAGGTCTGATGTGAAAGGGCCTGTAAAATAGGAATGAACACTCACCGGGGACTCCGGCCCTTGAGCCCTCCCAGGTTTGAATAGGAGAGGAGAGAGAACTGAACAGTCTCTCCACTCTTTGCCACTCAGAGGTTAGTCTGTGGGAGGTGATGGCTGCGGCCTCCACTCGGGGTCTGACCTCGTTCTCTGTCCTCCCTCCCTCTCTCCTCTCTCCCATTCCTCCTTCCTCCCTGGCGTATCCTCCTGTATCTCTAGGCCTGGAGCTGTGCGACCCAACCCAGAGGCTTCGGGTGGCCCTGGCAGGGGAGTTGGTGGGGGTGGGGGGGCACTTCCTGTTCCTGGGCCTGGCCCTTGTCTCTAAGGACTGGCGATTTCTGCAGCGAATGATCACCGCTCCCTGCATCCTCTTCCTGTTTTATGGGTTAGTATCATCCTCCACCTGTTGTCTGGCCATCCCGACCTCTCTCTCTAGCCTGGCTCTAGCCCAGAGACCCTTCCTCTTCTCTACTACCCCTTGTCCAGACCTGCCCCAGCCCTGGCCCCTCAGAGGTGGGAGTTTCCCACCCCTGGATCAGGAGATGGGAGACCTCAGAGTGCACCCCCATCCCCACCCCATCCCTAGCTGGCCTGGTCTGTTTCTGGAGTCTGCAAGATGGCTAATAGTGAAGCGACAGATTGAAGAGGCCCAATCCGTGCTGAGGATCCTGGCTGAGCGGAACCGGCCCCACGGGCAGATGCTGGGAGAAGAGGCCCAGGAGGCCCTGCAGGGTAAGAGACAGGGGTCCCTATAGGTGATACCTCACATGCACACGATAGTACCCTCTCCATGGTTACAGCTGTGTCACCTCCCAGGGTCCCCACCACCCACGTGGGAGGACCCTGGATTCTCAGCCGTTTCTTCTGACAGCCCCTCTCTCTTTCCCAAAGACCTGGAGAACACCTGCCCTCTCCCTGCAACATCCTCCTTTTCCTTCGCTTCCCTCCTCAACTACCGCAACATCTGGAAAAATCTGCTTATCCTGGGCTTCACCAAGTGAGCCTGGGTGTCTGAGCCAAGGGCCAGGCCAGTAGCTGGAATGGGGGCTGGCTGGGTGGGGAAGGCCTGAGGACCCCTGCAGAGAGCAGCCAGGGCAGTGGAAGGCCGTGCATGGGGACTCAGACACTGCTGTTTGCTTTACCCCCCTTCTCACAGCTTTATTGCCCACGCCATTCGCCACTGCTACCAGCCTGTGGGAGGAGGAGGGAGCCCATCGGACTTCTACCTGTGCTCCCTGCTAGCCAGCGGCACAGCAGCCCTGGCCTGTGTCTTCCTGGGGGTCACCGTGGACCGATTTGGCCGCCGGGGCATCCTGCTACTCTCGATGACCCTCACTGGCATTGCGTCCTTGGTCCTGCTGGGCCTGTGGGACTGTGAGCATCCTCCCTTCCCCACAGTGTGGGCTGAGCAAAGGAACCCCGGCAGAGGTGCCTCGACAGGCTCAGCCACTGCTTCTGGCACAGGCCCCGCCCCAGGACCAGACCAGACCCTGCCCAGACCTTCCACAGTCCTCCCCGTGGCCACACAGCCCTGTCTGTTCTCCCAATCAGTGGACGCCCAGAGCCCACCCAGCTAGAGCCATGGGATCAGAGAGCCAAGGGGATGATGCCAGGGCCTAGGCCAAGCATGATCTCACCTCCATTCACATCCTCCCTCTTGGTACTCCAGATCTGAACGAGGCTGCCATCACTACCTTCTCTGTCCTTGGCCTCTTCTCCTCCCAAGCTGCTGGCATCCTCAGCACCCTCCTTGCTGCTGAAGTCATCCCTACCACTGTCCGGTGAGAGCAGTGCTTCTCCGGCTAAGGAAGGGCCTGAGGGAGGGAGGGAAGGCTGCTGGAGAAAGGTTGGGGTGAGGCCCACAGCTAGAGGCTGAGTGCCTCCTCCATCTCTACCAGGGGCCGAGGCCTGGGCCTGATCATGGCACTGGGGGCTCTTGGAGGGCTGAGTGGCCCAGCTCAGCGCCTCCACATGGGCCATGGAGCTTTCCTGCAGCACGTGGTACTGGCGGCCTGTGCCCTCCTCTGCATCCTCAGCATCATGCTTCTGCCGGAGACCAAGCGCAAGCTCCTGCCCGAGGTGCTCCGGGATGGGGAGCTGTGTCGCCGGCCCTCCCTGCTGCGGCAGCCACCCCCTAACCGCTGTGACCATGTCCCACTGCTCGCCACCCCCAACCCTGCCCTCTGAGTGGCCTCTGAGCACCCTGGCAGGAGGCTGGCTTGTACTGAAAGGTGGCGTAAGGCCCTGGCAAGCAGGTTGGGAGCACTGAGTGAGGAAGGCAGGGCTGCCCAGAAGGCTCAGAGGCACCTCACGCCAGCCATCAAGGAGGGCTCAGAGGGCTGTCCCCACCCCCATCTCCTCCCTGCTGCTTTGTGTTCACTTCCTTGGCAAGAGTCAGGGGACAGGGAGTGAGCTCCACAGTGTTAACCACTAGGTCTGGGCTCCATCCTGTGCCCAAAGACATCCTCCCAGACCTCATTCTTGCTCTATCATTCTGTTTCAATAAAGACATTTTGAATAAATGCGCATACCATAGCCTGAACTTCCCTCCCTTCTGTTGTCCTGTCTGTTGGGGGAAGGTTTCTTTGAGTGGAACCAAAATCAGTAACAATCTCCCTCCCCACCTCACTGTGCCTTGCCCCTCTGTTAACTGACACACAGCCACCACCTTTTATGGATGGCTTCCTATGCTGCTAAGACTGGGCTAGGCACTTCACAAACTCCACTCAACCATTTAGTCCTTCCAACACCCCAAGGTCAGTGTTTGGATCAACTAGAAGTTTTTTTATTGTTGCAAGCAACAAAAACTGACCATAATGAACTTAAACAAAAAGGGGAATTTATTAGAGGGATGTGGTGGGGAGCACACAGAACAGAAGGAGAAGCAGAACTAGTCATAAAAGGTCAGGAACCAGAGAGGCCCCCTCTCCAGGGAGTAGGAACCAGGGCCTCACCTGGATGAATGACCTCCAGTGGGATTCCATCTTTGGATCATCCCACTAATGATTCATTTCCAGACAGCAAATGACTGGCTAGCTTGAATAACATGCCTGCATCCCTACCCATATTACTGACAACTGGGAAGATGGAAAGCCACAAATGAGTGCTGTTAGCAGAAGTAGGATTGGATGTTGTGCAGGTAAAAACAATGGATGCCCACTATAGTATTCTTTTACAGGTAAGAAAACTGATACTCAGAGAGACTCAGTAACTTGGTCAAGGTTACAAAGCTAATGAGTGACAGAGCTGGGACATAGTTAGATCCTGGAGCGAGAGCTCTTCATTGATGCACACTGTGGCCACCTCCCCAACTCCTTCCAATCTTTAGGCACTACCCGTGGAAGCGAGGAGTGAGTCTCGGAGCACCCCAGGAGTTGGCCAGAGGGGACTATTACTTTTCCCTCAGTGCCAGGGCCTGGCTGGCTCTCAAACTAGCCCTGGCCTGGCTTTACCACTTTGGGTGGATCTCTTTACCTCCAACTTCCTTCAAGGGTTGCTCTGAAACAAGATCATGTATTATAAATGCCTCCTACATTACCCCACTACGTGGTCAGCTCCTTGAGAGCAGGAATTTTATCAACTTCAAAACACCAAAGCCTGACACGATAGATGTTCAAAAAGTTATTAATGTGTTCATTCTTTCAGCAAATGTTTCCTGTGACTGATACCATCCTGGATATTTAGGGCTTAGGCCATCCTTTAAGGACCTTACAAATCCATCTAATACTAGGAATATTAATGAGGAGGAAAAGAAGCCAGTGGTTTGGAGCACCAAACAGCTGCATCCTGAAGCAGGTGAGACTTCACTCAGAGAGGCAGGAAGTCCTCAGGCAAGGGCTTAGGAGAAAAGTACAGCGCTTGCAACCCAAAGGCTATAGGGGGAGGCCCGTTCTCCATAGGTTCCTGTAGCACCAGTGTCCTCTCTCCTTCTCCTCTGCCCATCCATGTCTGAGGGCCAAAGCTCTATGCGCTAAGCCATGCTGCAGGACTTTCAATACTAACCATGGTACTGGAGAACTCGTAAGAACCTTTCTCATTTAATCTTCACAGCCCTCTGAAGTGGGTATTATTTTTATCCTATTTAACTACTGAGGACATGGAAATGAGAAGGATCTGCCATTAAATGGCCGAGCCAGGACTCAAACCTGGGCCTTCTGGCTGCACTTTCAACTCTTACCAGTTCCTTCAGTTATGTACTCTGTATCACACATTCTGTAAAACAAAGTCTGTGAACAATGTAACTGATTCCAATGTTCACTGTTTAGCTTAGGCTAGACAATGATAAAACGAGAGATCATACTCACTACTGTCTCCAGAGATTTGGTGAAAACCAACACAATGGTAGATAAAGAAAGCTCTTGTATTTTTGGAAGAGCCCCTGTAAAGCCAAGGAGTTATTTATATGCTAATGACACCGTCCAATACATACTGTGAGGAATGGTGTCAAAGGGGCATTCCAGTAAACCCATTCTTTGCACCCCACTGGAATATGATTCAGGGGAAAAAAGTAAAAACTCTCAGAAAGTTAGAGCAGCTCCTGTAGGAGGGTAGGTGAGGGAGAACAAGATTCTCTGACTCAACAAAGAGGTAAAGGCAAAGAAAATGAAAGCATTCGAGAAGCATCAGTGAAGCACGGGAAGACATGGTCCCTTATCCCTAAGCAACTCATAGTCTAGGTCAAAAGGGTCAGCATGTATAGCTAAAACAACTGGCATCATGTTCTAAAATTCACCAACCACATACGTCACTGGACACTCATCAATAACCCCAGGAGAAACAGTTTTCATTTTTTAGGTTTTTACAAATGGGGAGACTGAGGTTTGGAAAGGTAACTTAATCAAGGTTATATGACTGTTAAGTAATCAAAGTAGCCAGATCCAGAGAACTGAGAGTCTGCAGTCTTCTTACTGGATGCCAGACAGAAAATAGTTCTAAGCACCATGAAAGTATTACTTATCCTGTAATCAGTTTAGAAGATACCCCAGGAACTGGAGATAGCTTTTCAGACAAGTAAGGAAATGACTACTTTCATGAACATGAAACAGATTTTAGGAATGTTTCAGTTGGATTCACAACTATGAACCATAATGGATTATTGAGGGGGAAATTAAAAGAATATACAGGGTACATTTCTAACCTTAAGTTACATGAAATGACATGAAGGCCACTCTGATTCCTCTCATCCGGTCAACCTTGCCTGGCCACCCCGGAATCGATTTCTGCTGATGATCCACTACTGTCTGGGGCTGCCTCAGCGCTGGGGGAAGGGGCACGGTCCTTCCCTGTGAGAGTTCCAAACAATGTGAGACTAATACTTACAATCCTATATGGAAAATGCAGAGAAATGTAAAAAGTGATGCAGCAGCTCTGTGGAAGGAAGGATCTATTCTTTTGGAGACAGTCAAGGAAAGCTTGTCAGATATTTGGACTGGAACAGTGCAAAGCCCAGAGGTATGACAGAATATGAATGGTGTGCAGAGAGAACAGGAAGTGTTAAACAACCACGGAATAGAGGGAGACTGAAAAAACCCACAGCTAATCCTATTTATCATGACCAACTGAGAGCTTTTCCCCAAAGATCAGGAATAAGACAAAGATGTCTGCTCTCACCATTTCTGTTCAACGTTGTACTGGAGGTTCTAGCCAGGGAAATGGGGCAAGAAAATGAAAAAAAAAAAAAAGACACCTGAAATATAAGGACTATGTAAAACTATATTTGCAGATGGCATGATCTTGTATATATAGAATTCTAAGGACTAGACATAAAAAAAACTGTTAGAACTAAACAAACAAGTTCAATAAAGTTACTGAACTTAAAATTAAACTTGTAAGATACAAGATCAATGTACAAAATCAACTGTACTTCTACACAATAGCAATGAACAACCTGAAAGCAAAATTAAGAAAACTCCATTTAATATAGCAAACAAAAAACACTTAGGAATAAACGTACTAAAAGAAGCATTAAGACATGCACTGAAAACTACGAAACATTGTTGAAAGAAATTAAAGAAGACTTAAATAGACATAACACTTTCATAGTTTGGAAGACTTAATATTGTTACAATGGCAATCCTCCCCAAATTGTTCTGCGGATTCAATGTAATCCCTATTAAAATCCTGGCTTTCTTTTTTCCAGAAACTGACAAGCGGATTCTGATATTCATATAAAATGTAGAAGACCCAGAAGAGCTAAACAATCTTGAAAAAGAGCAAACCTGGAGGCTTCATACTTCCCACTTCCAAAACTTATCACAAAGGTACAGTGATGAACATAGCGTAGTACTGGCATAGGACAGCTATACAGATCAATGGAGTAGAATTGAGACTCCAGAAATAAACCTATACATTCATGGTTAATTAATTTATTTTCAATGGGTGTCAACACCATTTAGTGAGGAAAGAACGGCTTTTTAAACAAATGGTGCTGAGACAAATGCGTATCTGCATGCAGAAGAATGAAGTAGCCCTCTCCCTCACACCACACACAAAAGGTCATTCAAAACGTATCAAAGATCTAAATATAAGAGTTAAATTATAAAACTTTTAGGAGAAAACAGGGGCACCTGGGTGGCTCAGTTGGCTAAGCAGCTGCCTTTGGCTCAGGTCATGATCTCAGGGTCCAGAGATCGAGCCCCACGTCAGGCTCCCTGCTCAGTGGGGAGTCTGCCTCTCCCTCTCCCTCTGCTGTTCCCCCTGCTTGTGCTCTCTTCACGCTCTAAAATAAATGAAATCTTAAAAAAAAAAAAAATTTTTAGGAGAAAACATAGGCACAAATCTTCATGACTCTTGTGCTTCAAAGGATACTATCAAGAAAAGTGAAAAAGCAAAAAAAAAAAAAAAAGTGAAAAAGCAACCTACAAAATGGGAGAAAATATTTGCAAATTATAAGCATCTAATATTCAGCATACAGAAAGAACTCTTACAACTCACCAATAAAAAGACAAATAAGCCAATTAAAAAGTGGGCAAAGAATCCAAACAGACGTTTCTTCAAAGATATACAGACGGCTAGTAAGCACGAGAAAAGATGCACATCATTAGTCATTAGGGAAATGCAAATAAAAAACAGGAGCTACTTCATACCCACTAGGATGGCTGTAATCAAAAAGATGGGACAGTAATGAGTTTGATGAGGATGTAGAGAAAGTGGAACATCAAATGATGCAGCTGCTTTCAAATACAGCCCAGCAGTTCCTCAAAAGCTTAAACACAGTTTATTACCTGATAACCTAGCAATTACACTCCTAGGTATATACTTAAGAAAAATGAAAAGGTATGTTCACAGAAAATCGTGTAGCTTGTAGCAGTACTGTCCCTAATAATAAAAAGAAAGAAAAGAAAAAAGAAAAAAAAAGGAAAAATGCAGATGTCCATCAACTCATGGGTAATCAAAATGTGGTCGATTGAAACAATACTACCCAGCTATGAAAAGAAATGAAGTACTGATACACGCTACAACATGGAATCTCCAAAACATGATGCTAAGTGAAGGAAGCCAGACACAAAAGGCCACATATCGTACGACC